AAAGAAGAAGAAAAATGATGAAGGTATGGTGGTCGAGTGGAGGAGGTGTATAGTGTGGGGAAATATGCATATCACCAACTACGGGTTTGCGTGATATTTCACGACTCGCATTCGGCGGTATTACCGTCTGCCAGCCCCACCCAAAAGGGTGAGTCTGCTGCCTAGTCGTTGGGACTGGATGCTACGACTTCTCTCCTAGTAGCGGTGAGCTAACAACGGGTGGTGGTGACAATGAAATAATTCTGAGGAAATTCCGGATTTATGGTATGAGTAACTCGTGTGTAAATTTCTATAATGTAGCTTTGGAAGCTTCTGGGCTCAGCTGAGGAAACTAAACAGGCGCTCCGACACTGTCGGTGTAGGTGATACGATGAGAGAGAAAGATGGTATGGCAGAGACGACATGTCCACCAACTCCTCCTCCACCACCACCGCCTCCCTCGGTGAATCGTCCTTCGCCGTCCAGCACACCGTTGCCGCCCCTACCGCCCTCGCTGATGAAAATGATGCATGGATTTTGACACCTGATTGGCCTCAGCTTTCGTCGTTGTCGTAGTAGTATTCAATCGTAAGAATGTCATGGTTTCTGAGTGACTCGTTTCGGATGGACGAACCGTGTTAAGGGTTGTTGTGTTTGGGGATTCTTCGGAAGTCTCTGCTTTTGCCTTGGTTGTTTTTTTTGCCTTGGTGGATGTCGGCTAATGTGCAAGCTCGAGACATCATGGAATGCCCTGAGTGCAAGGGGAAGACTCAGATTGTCGTGGACTATGCTCAAGGTAGTATCTTAGTGGTTGTTTGCGGATGGTGTCTGCGGTCAGGTTCGGTGATTTGCCGTAATTGTGGATTGATTTTGGAGATGTCATGCATTGATGATTCGCAAGAATGGCGGTCATTTTCGGATAGCAGTGGACCGGACAGGAATCGAGTTGGAGGGACGACTAATAATATGTTGCATTCTGGGGGCTTGGGCACTAGTGTTGGTAGGAGGGTCCCGGGTTCGATTCTTGGCGGAGGCACTTTTTCTGTTTTATTCGTATTTATCTCGGTAAGAGGGTTGTTGATGACGAATGGCTGTTGATTTGTGATATAGCGTTCAAAGCGGTCGGAGGAAACAGAAATGGCTATACGATAGATCTCTTGCAAAAACTTAGGTTTATGCGTGGGTTCGATTCCTCCCGAAGACATTTTTCTGTTTTTTAGTATTTTAGGTTGTGCCTTGTTTAGGTTTTGGCAATAGTAGATTGGCCCGTACCCACATGATAGCTGTTAATAGTGATAATGTGGATCGTACTCTCAACAAGGGCCATAAGATTCTACGGGATATTATGGACGCCTTGGCTTTGCCAGACAATATTTACACACGATGTTGTCAGGTGAGAGCAGTAGCAGCGGAGCGAAGTTTTTTTCCATGAAGCTGTTTTTCAGATATTGAAACAGATGGACGATAGTGGATTGTTGAAGGGGAAGACGAATTATCCGTGGCTGTTGGCAGTAACGTATATGGCGTGCAGGCAGGAGGGAGCTGGGAGGAGTATCAAGGAGATACTCGCCGCCCAGCCTACTGTGAAGGTGGGCTTACTTGGACATAGTGGGCGGGGCGGATAATTTCAGAAGCAGTCATTCACTGATAACAGCTGTCGATTGGCTGATCTGCGTAATAGACTTGAATGATATGCTGTATTGAAATCACTCCCAAAAGTTCATAACGCGACGAACGGAAAGCTCTGGAGCACTCGCAGATGAGCGTTCCGGTGTCGGAGTGATAAACTGAGTTCGGTTTGTGTCGGGACTCCTTCATGTCTAGTCGTGGCCACTGGACTCGTAGGTTTATCGAAATTGTTATGGAAACTCGCGGTTATGTACATGGCACCGGGGGGAGGGGAAATGACGGATTTCCGCTCTGAAACATTTCGTAGCATCTCCTTTGTGTGCTTACTTCACTTCCTTTTTAACCTTTCGAAAACTTCCCGTATCAGTCGCTGTCGTTCGTATACTGTCCTCGTCAATCCAGAATTTGGCGATAAGATGGTATGCTTTTTAGGATAAAGAGGTGGCTAAGAATTTCTGGCGTCTTGAGAAGATGCTCCAGAAGGCATCAGTACAAGAGGCTCGTACGGCTGCTGGTGGTGGACCAGTGTCGGCAGCTAAGGTCGGCGGCGCGGGAGCGGTGGCGGGAGATACTTTCATGCCGCGTTATTGCAATCGTTTGGGTATACCGGAATGCGAAAAAGCGGCTGATCATGTTGCGATGCAAGCAGGTAGTGGTTATGGAATGGTATGTCTCTGGGAGTGGTTTTTGGCAGGTCGGTATGGTTTGATCGGCTCTCGAAATCCCTCAGCTGTGGCGGCTGGGGCGCTGCTCGCTGTTGCTTATGCAATGAATGTTGAGAAGAAGCCATCGTTGGATCTGGTAGGTTGGACGTGGTTCGGGCGTGTTGAGGGAGTTGTGGTATTGTTGTAGTTGGCAACAGTATCGCAGTGCAGTGTGAATATGATACGACAGAGTTACCTCACGTTACGGCCTCATCTTAATCGTCTACTACCCACTGGTTTTGTGGTGAAGATACCTGGAGGGCTGTCGGGGATGCCTGCATAGACGTATATATATCATCACCACTGAGTTTGCTACTGCGTGCTGTATTATTCTCGTGCGTTTAGAAAGGTGTTTTGTTGGGTCGTCTGGTTCGAGCGCTTGGAGTTTGCGATCATCCTGCGTGACGTGGATCGTGTCAACGATCGCTCTTGCAGTTTCTGTTCTCCGTAATGCAATAACGATGGTCGCGGGCTGGATTCCAGGAAGTATGGTGGAGTCGATAGTTTGTATTCATCATTACGGGGACAGCGTTGTCGAGGTAAGCAATGAGACAAGTGTTCAAAGGATGCGATAACGATAGGATGCACTGGGCAGTTTTGTCACGCGCCACGAAATTGGGCGCATTGTATTCCAGTGGCTATTGCCATCTTTACAGGTCACTGACGCACCTTATTAACCGCGGGGAATAGTTGAGCATTGGGTTCACCCCGCTGAGGCTTCAACTTGGCTGTAGTTCGAACAGGAGCTGTCGTTTGCATTCACAGGCAGTATTGCTATATAGCACTGGGGTTCGGTCGCCCATCGTGATGCCAAGTGAACCATAGAGATGAGTTTAACTATCATTTCGAGCGCTTGGGAGTTCGGGTACCATTATTGTCCAGAATCTGATCTTCCCGACAAGAAATGTCGTGTTTTTTGCATTTTTCTGCATACGGAAGAATTTATTGGTAGTTCGTCCGTCTTCTGAATTGATGTGATTATTACAAAATAATCCATCACGCACGCACGCGAGCACAACGCGAAGTGACATTTGCTGACAGTATATGCTCTGCTAGCTCCGTTCAGGTCGCGCCTTTTGCCTGTTCGTGGCTGCACTTGGTGCCATGGACATCACGTGGTTCACCATGAGCAAGTTGAGTCTTACAGCATCTTCTTCATCGCTGTCAAAAGATGAGTCCAGCCCGGCGTCACCGATAAAGGGGCTTCGGTAGTAGGCACATCGTTGCCACTTGCACTGGGGTTGTTTTTCATACCTCTCAATAGCAACTTGTCATGTCCGTTTCTTTCCTGAGTACTATGCTATTGCCAGACGTGTAGGTGTTGCATTGCTGATAGCGTTCCACTCCGACCTCATATTACGGTTGGGATATGCTCGGTGCCTTTGCATTTTTATAAAGACTCGTGCTGGAGTATCACGGTATCCTGTGAAAGTGTCAGGAATGTGTTCAGGTGCTCTTGGTTTTGCGGCTGACGCTCATTCTTGGCTACTGAATATGATCAAAGTTTGTTAAGTTGTTTATTCTGGGCATAAAATGTGCATGTACAGAATCTACAACGTAACATCACACTGTAGACTACTCTGCAAACATCTACCAATTCAACGGTAACGTAACTTTCCTTTTTTGTGAATGCTCGCGTTGTATTGCCACTTGTGTGTTGCTATGAGTCTGTGATTTTCTAGCTGTGCATACCAACCCATGAGCTCCAGTCCGTCATCAGCGTCGAAGAAAACCGGACTGAAAATCACATTTGATGAGGTAACCGAGGTGAACGGATCGACCTTCACTCCTATTGTAGCAACGAGAACAGGAGCAACAGCCATCGGTGACGCTACCTGAAAGTTGCTTTTCGTCACCACTTCGCGAGGAGCCACCACCATCAGCGGTAGGCTAGGCTGTAGTGTGTGGAAGCATTACATCTGTCCTTAGCACTACAATAGACTACTAAGCCCGTCATCATCATTGCATAGAAGGCCGTCTAGTGTGTCAATCGTCCATGACCTCATGAGCCCGCAAGTGAGTCCATGGCGTATCTTTTGGTATCTTTCTGTCGCTTCCCATGTTAGGTATCATCCCAATGGTCTTCAGCTGCTCTTGGGTTGCAACCTACATTACTGCCTGAAACGGTTTGTAATGCCGTGCCTGGAGGAGGAGCTGCTACGTCCGTTGGGGAGACCTATAGTGGAGATGATTCCCCCACTCTGAGGATCTCTGACACCTCTAGTGGTGGTGATCGACTCACTCGTAAGAATATCTTTATAGGTTAGTTTCATGGTGTGTGATTTTTTCACAGTACCGGACT